TATGTCAAATTTTTGTTATGTTATTGTAGTTTTAATAATAAATACTTAAGAATTAAGGTATAAACTAGAATTAATTGCAAATTAAAAATTTTATTATGAAAATTAATTGCCATAATTTACACATATTTAAAAGATTATTTATAAGATTATGTTTTAAATAATGAAAATAACCTTATATTTCAAATAAAATTTAAAAAATGTGCTAATAACTTTTACAATTTCAAAATTGTGCCATTAAAATAGACAAAATATGAAAATACAAATTTTCTTTTGAACATTATACTCGTATTCCCACGTAACATTTGTGACCCAAATTTTATTTTATGTTAAAAAAAAATTTCTGAAATTTTAAGATTTTTTTGATATTTCATGAAGGACATTTTTAATATAATTTACATAAATCAATAAAAAACAAACATTTCAAATTCAATATTTTATAACAAAATAATTTTCTCAACAAATTTGAAGAGGTGCTCTCACACACATATAATAAGAATATTACCAAAAAAAAATATATTTGAAATGAGTGGATATTAAAAGAAATAATAAAAAATAATTGTAGCTAATTGGAAAATAGGTGTTTCCTGAAATTATACAAATATTTTTTTTTACACTCTTAATAAAATTTGAAGTAGCCATAATAAATTGGCAATAAAATACCTACGAAACTTATTCGAAAAAAAACTATTTCTTTATAATCTTCGTTTTTATGTGTTGAAAAAATACACAAATTCAGTCGCCAGAAGAAGGTCATTTTTATAGAAGTTGTGTAAAATGACAAGAAGGTCAAAAACTGTAATACAAGTATCTGGCCAAATAGCCAGAATTAAAAAAAAATATTGTCTTTAAAAATATTTTTTCTTATATTTTTTTTTTGCTGCAATTTTATTTAATTCCAAAATTTTATAAATAAATAAAAACAGACAAAGGATATTGACAATACTTATGTATATTAAACGGACAATATGTATTACAATTTGTATAACACATTCTAAAATACATTGTAAGTCGAAAATTTTTTATTTTATAGCAGAGTGTTTTTTAAAGATTTTTTTTATTTTTGATTTATTCTATTTCTTTACTTACAGGTATGTTTTAAATAGAAATTTGTAAACAGACTCTTATATAAAGAAAATAAATTTTTTGTAAATCGAATATATTTTTGTGAATGACTGAAATTTTTGGAAAATTAAACATTCTTCTACTAACTACTGCGACTAAAGCATTTTAGAGCTACGACGCTTCATCTGATTAACCTTCCAAATCACAATTTCATTAAGAATTAATTTAAGTACTTAAATGTATGTAAAAATTTGTAAGAGTTCGTGTAGGGTTTGATATGGAGCTCAATATTAACTACTTACAGTACAGTATCTATATTATAATTTTATACATGTAAATTACAGTACAGTCTTGGTTTGCTAAATGAAAAGGTTCATTTTTTACGTGTTTACTAAGCATGTGGAGAGGTCATTGTAACTTACATTTAAAAAAGCAAAAATAACTTACATTTAAAAAGGGGACAAACAACAAGCTTAGAGATGAACGACTTTGAATAATTTAAAATGGAATTTTAAAATAAAAAATTTCGATTTTTCAATAACTAAGGGCTTTCTCAATAATTTTGTAAAAGCATAAATTTTTAAATTTAATTTTAACAACAAATATAAGAACAAAGAGTCGCAGCTTTAAAACAAGAATCTTTTGAACTTGCTGAAAAAATTAAAAATTTTTTTTCTTCTAGAATAAATGCAACAAAGCAAATTATGAACAAAGTAAATTTTTATATATTAATAAAAATCTTGAATTATCATTTTTCAATAATTTCCTTAATAAAAAAAAATTATTAATTTAATTACGAATAATTACCAAAAATAGGCTATTGAATAAGGTGAAAAATTTTTCAACTATTCCTTAAAAAAAATTAATAACAAAACATTTTTGTATTCATCTATAATTGGAAAATTTTTAAAAAATATTTGCCTTATTTTATTAAAATTATTCCTATAATTTCTGTTTTTCATATTATACAATTGCTATTAAATTAAAAAATGCGTCAAAAGATCGATTACGTATAATTTTCTAATTTATTTTCAATTATTTCATAATAATTGCTTTGAAAATTCAATTATCTATTTAAGTTTATTTAATATGGAGTTGTTGCATCAATTTAAGGATGAATTATTAAATTTTATTAAAAATTACATTCGTTTTATGAATTAATTAATCAAAATTTGTTATACAATAAACAATTAAGTGAAATGTTATGTAAGAATATTAATGACAGAAATTAAATCTCATAGACATTTGAGTAAAAATGACATTCGAAAAAATATGTTATTTATTTGATTCTTTTTGAATGTTTTTTATTTCCTGTTTAATCCTATTTTTAGATTGAACCAATATCGGTGCAAATTTCAACATATTATGAGAAGAATTGCTTCAAAATTGAAATTCATAGAGAAATTTGCTTGTACATGGCAGAACTATCCTAAGTTCCAATTTGCATTGTACATGAGGTGCAAATGACATGTACATCGTCCAATTTGCATTGTACAATTATACTTGAGAGAAAACTAAAGATCAAAATATATGTTCACAAAAATAAATTAAATGCGGACATAGGATTATTACTAACGACTGATTTTTAAGCCGAACTGTTTATAGTGAATCAATAAAGTATATACACTCGCGTTCAGCGCACAATTGACATAGTATATTGCTGGAAAAAAACGAAATGAGGATAGTTCTACTCGAAACAAGCGAATTATTCAATATAGTCCTAAAATCTGGAAAAAAAAACGTTTGGGAAAAGTATGTTAGAAGAATTTCGGCAACCTTTTAAAAAAAAATATTGGATTTCAAAATTTAGGTTTAAGAATTGTTTGAATTTTCAAGATTTAATACAACATATTTCATTCATTTTTAAGGTCAAGAAAACTTCAAATATCTGAAGAACATTAAATAAAGCCAAATATATCTATCATCTATAATTGGTTGTAATTTGTTTAATTCCTGAGCAGCTTCGAAATTGCAGGCATTTATAACACTCTGTAAATACGGAATAGCACTTTTATATTAAATATTTTGTTGCAGTAAAGAAAAACAAAAAAAAATTCTTTTTAAATTAGAAATTTTTAAATTAAAATGTGCTTCTTTGCAAACCGATTCCGTTTTTTTCCCTTGTTTCGAAATGATTCTCAATTTCATTACCTATTTTAATTTTAGTTTACTAACAATGATTCAAAAATAAACATAAAAGCAAAATAAAAGCCTATTGCATATAAAAAATAAAAATTATTTAGAATTCCATATAAAAATAAAAAATAAGTAGTCAACATTTTCAGTTTTTTAATAAAAGAAACAAAAAAAAAACAAATAAATAAAATGGAAAAAAACTTGATTGAATGATTTACCCTTGTACGTTTATGACGTTTTATGAACATTTCCGAATGAAACTTTATCTGCTCTATTAATAATAAATCATATGAATAACAACAAAAGGTCAACAAATTTGTCAACGATGAAATACAAAAGCGAAAAGCTTTTTTATACAAAGCATCATTTCATTTACAACAATCAACAAATTCATTATGTAGCGACAGAATGGAATAATCGCGTGCCAAAATTTTCGAAATCTCAAACCGATTCTGTTTTAATTTTATTAAATATTATTTATTTGTTTAATTAATTATAGTGAATTGCTCAAGATCTTTTCATAATACACAATATTATGTTTATAAATTAGATGAATATTAATATTTTTTTTATTTTGATTTCGATTTTATTTAGCATGTTATTAGAGCTCATAATTATCATAGGGTACAATTAGTAACCTTATAATTATTGTAACATTTTGTTTTGCAATTTTACATTTTTCTAAAATTTCTTTCAATTTCTAAGAAAATACCTAATAAGCAAATTTATGGCTCAAACATATTTGTCAAATAAATTCGAGAAATTAAATAAAAAAAAATAAGTAATAAGGAAATGAAATTCTAGACGAGAATAAGAATGACGTAAAATATGAAAATTTGTAATGTCAAAAAGCAAATTTATCAAAAAAAACACAAAATTATATGCTCTTCTAATTAATATTATTAATTGTTAGGTTACTGACTCTCTGACCCATTAATCCTAAAGGATTATAAATGGAAAATTATTCATAAGTAAACTTAAGTACATTACTAAAATACGGAAGTAATCAAAGCGAAATATTTATATAGTAAATATATAACTAGAATAAACACAAAATTAATAACAAAAGCACTGCCACCTACAAGTGATTTCATCTGAACTCGAATAAATAATATTATAACAAATTTTTATTAGTGTAATTCAATTTAGAGAGCAAAATACTTCCTGTAATGTATTTATTATTATTGAAGAGATAATATTCGGGAGTTCATAAATGGAATTGTATACGAATCTTAATAACAGAGATCTTATCTTTATTTTATTTTTAAATTTTAAACAAATTTAAAAAAATTTTCTAAAGCCTCTACCTAACGGGACTTGACTTGTGAAATCTTGGTTAATTAATATAAAAACTGTGACGCGAATAGTTGCGATGCAAACCTAGTTTGAATTCATGCGTTCCAAAATAATGGACCAGTGCATCAGCTTAAGCTACTGAAATAATATCAAATGGGGTAATCAAATACATATGTACATTAAAATTTTAATTTACCACATGATTTCTCATAAACAATAATTAGTGTCACTAAATGTGTCACCTACGTCACAAAGAGAGCAATTTGATATTCGCAGCGTCCCTTATATTATTGCCGCGAATTTAAAAATACGCTTAAAATAAAATGTGGTTATAAAATAAAATAAAATTTTTTAAATTAATTAATAAAAAATTTGTAATAAAATTGTTACCAATTTTAACTGAATTCTTAATGATTTAAGAAAGTATGTACTTTTTCAATTTTTTAATAAAAATATGATAAAATTTAAAATTTATCATAATAGCACTTAATTTGTAATCAATTTACCTTATAAACTTCAGAGAAAAAACCTGAACCAATTTTTTCTTTTATAAAATCATCTACTGAATATAAAGCTGATACAGCTGTTTTTAATGCTCTACATGATGGTCCAGTTACTAAACGATCTGATGATATTGTTCTAACAACAGTTTGTTGTTGTTGTTGTTGCAATTGTAATTGAGGTTGTTGTAATATTGATGGAGGTAATTGAGACGATGTTGATAAACATACCGTTGCATTTGTTGTTAATAATGATTTTGATGATGATAATAATGATGCTGATGATGATGCTGACGAAGTTTTAATATTTATTGGTAATGTTGTTGTTGTTGTTGTTGTTGTTGTTATTGTTGATACTACATTAATTTTAGGTGATATCATATGGTTTGTTGTTGTTTTTACTCCTGATATTATTGATGTTGATGGTGATATTGTATTAACATTTGTTGATGATATTATTGATGTTGTTATTGTTGTTGCTGTTGTTGTTGATGACGATGATGATAATGATGATGATGGCGATATTACTGATGTTGATGAATTTAATAAAGATGATAAAGGTGATTGTGTTAAAATTTGTACTAAATTTGATGAAGATGGTGGACCAGGTCCACTATACTCATTTGAATTCATTTTCATCAACTTATTTTGATCACTACAAACAACATAATTAATTTAATTATATAAATTGTTTTATTTTTTTTGGTTTGTTTTTTTTTTTAATTTTTATTTTGTGAATTTTCACTTTCAAGAATTTTACACTAATTTTTTTTTTAATTTTATTTTTAATACTTGCTTTTCTTTCAATAAAATTTTTACTTTTATTTTCAAAAATTATTACAAAAATTTAATATTATTTTTTTCCCCTTATTTTTGGCACATTTGTAAGAAAAAAAAAAATTAATTTTTTTTTTGTTTTTTTTTTTTTTTTTAATTTTTTAGTAAAATTTATTAAAAATTTTACTCGACTTGTTTCTGATTATTTTATCGAAAATAAAATGAAGACAATATGATTGCGAGTAAACAAAACCAAAAAACAAAAAAGAAAAGAAAAACAAAAAACAAAGAAAAAAAGCGAACAAAAAATTTGTTTTTCTTTTATTTTACAGTTATATATGTAAATGTGAATTTATACCGTTATAACTTGCATATAAGTGTGTGTATTTGTTTTTATTATTTTGGCACTTGCTTAAATTCCATTTCGGTGTATCTTTTTCCTCTTGTTATTCTTTTGGTACTCCGCTTTCCCCTTTTTTGATTTTCATACATAATTTTTCTCAAAATTTTTTATTTCTTCTTTTCTTATTTTGTATTTATGATTTTTTTTTTTCACTTTAATATTTTTGTTTTCAAAAGTTAAAAATGTTTTCGTTAGAAGATTTATCTGAAAAAAAAAAAAAAAACAGAAAAAACAAATATTAAAAATTTTTTTCACTACTTTTTTATGTTATCTACAAAACAAAAAATTTATATTGGTAATTTAACCACTAAGCGCAAGAACTGGTACAGAAATAGAGAATGTCAAAAGAATGCAAAGCATATGATCTGTAAATGTAAAAGAGAATCAGATAACTGACTGAATTATTTCTTTAATAACAAATATTTTTCATGAACTACGAGAAAAAATCATCGCTTCTCGGTTATTAAAATCAAAACTTTGGATGACATCAAGAATTCAGTATTGATACATATGAGCATACGTATGTATATTACAATAATTAAAACGTCCAACTTTTGCAATAGAACCGCCATATTCAATTGAACACTTTGTTTTATTACAAATCAACTAAAAGACTGCAACCTCAAAATTAGTTTATTTACTATTTTCGCAATTACTGTCTGTCATATTTTACTGATTTTGACAATATTATTTATTATTTTTATAATTTATTATGAAAACATCTTTTTTTTTTTAAATGACACAAATAATTGAATTAATTGAAATAATTTGATATTATTTTGACTTTCATTTTGGTGACTTATAATTTTGTTATTGTATGTTGTTGCTGCAGCCTTTTTGTCTTGAAAGCGTTGAAGTTAACATTTTTGCAATTGTGAAATTATGCAGTTTTGAGGTGTGACCACATTGTGTTTAGGGCATAAAGGAGTAAGTTACGCACAAAACAGTCAAATCAAAAATGTCAAATCCATGACATTTAAATTAAAAAATTAGTTTTTATTTTTGCGTAAAATTGATTTGTGTTGTTGAAAATTTAAAAATTCTTACACTTATTTGTGTGTTTTATTAAAAGTTAATAAATACTAAAATATTAGAACAAATTAAGTTAAAAAAAGAATTTTTAAAAATTTCTTGCATGAATCATTATACGATTTATTTGTGCATGAAAAAAAAAACTGATTTGATTTATTAATCCGTAAGTAAAATATCAAATAGAAATATATACATATATATATATATATATATATATATATATAAACGTACCGATATGAAAAATTTAAAAATACTCTTAATATATAGAATATTTTTGTGGAAACACTCTTTATATTGCATATGGAGTAATTAATACATTATTTAAAAGTTAAAATAACAACAAAAAAAGTACATTCAAGTTATAGTTTTAAAAAAAAAATAAAAAAAATCAAAAAACTTTATTAAGAAATACTATTAAAATTTGACATTTTTAAAAGTTAATATACAAAATGTAGTAGATAAATTTCATGTACTGTAAATATGTTATACATATGTATATGTATGTCAGTTTATATTTTTATGTATATGGCGAGTGGGTACCCACATATCATTTAATATTAAACATACATACGTATACATATACATATAGTTTTGATTTTAGTACATAAATAAAATCGGACGACAGTAATAAGGAAAATGAAAATTAGGGTCATGAAATGAAAGCGAAAAAAAAAAATTGATTTAAATAGAAATATTTTAATAATATTAAAAATATTAATTTTAAATGTTTAAATATATAAGTAAATGATATTTTGTAGAATGAGTTCTATAACCCTGGTATATACTTAGTGTATTCAAATTTTAACAAAATAAATAAGCAACTTTTAAAAATAAAAATCACATATGTTTTAAAATTTTTAAAAAATAAAAATAAATTTTAAAAATTTTAATGAAAAATATTTTAACAAAAACTTAATTACATTTAAAACAAAGAATATCTATATATACATAGTACAAGTTACTATATACATACATACATTATATTTACTATTATAGGAATACAATTTTTAAAATCGAAAATGTAATATGCATACATTTACAATGTAATAATGAAAATGTAATATGCATACATTTACACGTCATGTCTAGGGTACTTATAATAAGTACATAAATGCATTTATTACTTGTAATTTGTACTAGAATGTATACACGAATAATTCAAAAACCAATAAATTTTAATATTAAATGCATTGTCATTTTAGAATAATAATTAGTTCTAAACCTTTAATATGTGCACCTCAATTAGATGTGATAAAAATTTTTAATAGGAGTAAAACAAAAAATAATAATTAAGCTTTACATAATCATAAAATGCATTAATATTATTGCAATAGGATTTTTTTTTTTTAATGAATTTAATTTGCATAATTTTTGCACTACTTTATTAATATTTTATACAAATTGAATACAAATTAATTTTTAATATTCAAGCATTTGAATTAGTAATTAGAAAATATACATATTAAGAATTCAGAAAACATAAATTGCAGTTCCTTTTTCAAAAAAAATCGATTCCTTTTCGTAATAATCGATTAAATAAAGTTGGATTTTTCGAAAATATTATTTCGGATTTTAAAGAACAAGCGACAAAAATTTTAGTCAAACAAAAATTGACAGCTGATTAAAATATCTGACAAATAAATTGAGTGTTTACCATATTCGATTTATTTTCTTTTGCAGTAGAAAAAAATGTAAGTGTCTAAAAATTTGACAGATTCAAACATATTCAAACCAAAAGTGGATGGTGTAAAATCAACTTAAAATTAAAATTTGCACTTGCATTGCATATTTGCATAATTTCTATGGCAAAATAGTTTTTAAATAATATGAGAAATACACAAATATTTAAATTTTTACGGTTTTATTTGGAAAACATTTTTAATACACTATAAAAATTTGATGTTTAACACATATACATAAGTGAGTTTGAGTATTGTAATCAGTGCAAGTAATTGTATGAGTTTGACAATTAAATGTATGTAAACAAACTTAAACAATATAAGTACAGTTTGTATATAGAAAATCCTTTCTTTTTATGTTTTCGAATGAATAATAAAAAAAGTAACAAACACGTATCAAACGAGTATTTAAAATTTCAACATAGTTACTAATCCACCACATTTGTTTATGCATTTAAGATACAATAAACGTACATGTATTAAGAAACACATACTTAAACATTCAAATCTTGACTTTAAATTTTTAAAAAAAAACCAATAAAAATTAAAAAATTATATAATCAATTTCGCAAATAAAGCATATTAACACTAAGCAAAAAAAGTCATTGAATAAATAAATTTTCGGAGACAAATTTTTTATTGTGTAAATAAATAACCATTTTCGAAATCAAAAACAAACATAAGCTGTAATTGAAAGTGATTTGTGATTTTTCTCTTTTGCTTTAGTAAATATTTATTTTCAGATAAACATTGAATAGGATCGAATACGAACAGGCAAACATTTCTAACCTTAAACCATTTTGCGAGTTTATAATGCAATTTGCATTCACTGTTATAAGAAATAAAATCAAATTTTTGCAAGCTATAAAAATTTATTTATTTATTTAATTTACTAAAATTTTTTTTGCAATTTAGATATTGTTTGTTTTATTTAGTAACAGTAGTTCGTAGAAATAACTACACGAAGGATAGAGTTTATTCTGTCACTTAATAATTTTTAGAATTTCAATTTTTTGACCATATGAGCGCGATAATGCTCAAATCGGAAAAAGACCTCGAATTTTGAGCTTTTAAAAACTAGAATATCTATCAGAAAAAAAACGAACACGGGTCTACATTTTGAATAATCTAATTCTACTCTGAACTACAACACTAGACCACCTTGAGTATCAAGCTAATTGCAGTCGCAAATAACGTAGGCGATGTCTTGTTCTTTGAACAATTTTTAATTTTATATTAAAAACATGTCATCTACGCAACAGTTCATGTTATATGTCGCTTACTTAACAATTTGAAAATTTCTTTAAAATGGTAGAAATTAATTCAAGTTGGTGGGCAAAAAGTTGAAATTAAGATAAAAAATTGACTTTTATAATTAGAAATGTCACCTACGTAAAAACTACGAACCTGATACGAATCATCTAATTTGCGAACAGTTTAACATACAGTGACATCACAATATTACTATCACGTGTAGACCTGGCTAAGAAACCTGACTCGCATTATAAAATGTCAATGTAATTATGTGTGTGAACTTCAGTACAAGTACTTTCAGCATTTGTAAATTTTCTAGTAGTAATACTTAGTTACATATTCAATTATCTTTTGTAAAATTAAAATCATTAAGATTTTATCACGCGGATTATTTTTGGCAAAAAAACAAAAACAAAATTAAATATAACAAATAAACAAGGGGTGTAAGAGTAATTTAATATTTTAAAAATAATTATAAAACTAAATTATTGTTACTTGAAATTTAGCGCCCATTTCAATTTTACAGTTTCTTTCATACTTATAACTGTGAATTATTATACATTTTGAGTTGAAGGTTTTTTGAAACAAAAAAAAATTTTTTTGAATATTTTTTTGTTTTAAATATAAAAATATTATAAAGAAAGAATAATTACAAATTACATATATTACGAGTACATATATACAAAGGATTTAATTAGTAATCAGAAAAAGTAATA